ACACCCGGGTGTATGCGAACAGATAACGAGAGAACATTGTCATCAGCACAACTCATTACCCAAATCTCACGCGGATTCCTGTTGGTGGTTTTGTTGTCAATTTGTGCCTCACTAGCTCTGTGGTCCTGAACAGAAAGCAAACTCAAATCAGAGTTAAAGGTAATAATATTAGTTCATTTCTAGGTATTTGAACTAAACTTCTCAGGCTGTTTATAGTTACTATTCCCTCAAATAGTGAAAGGTTGATAGCAATCACATTTGTAATGGAGCCCACTTCATTGTTACTTCTAGCTACACTGGATAGTGCCTCCAAATATCTTTCCCCATTGGCACTGTTTTACATATCATGGATTTGAGTTACACAAATCATAGCACTTGGGTGCTGCACAAATATGTGTTGATTTTGTAATGGGGAGAATGAGGGTATTCACCAAGTCACACTCCTGGGATTGGGGAGAATAAATTTGAACATAATGCCCTTCATGGTCAGCTTGAAAAAACATTTATTAATTCACATTTATTTTATGATAAACTGTGCGAAGTACTAGGACATAATGAGGAGCAAAAATCAACAGATTTCTGTCTGATGCACCTAGGATCTTGGAAACAAAATTTTAGTAATATTATCAAAAACAACAACTTTGAGTAAGTGCTCAGAAATGAGAGGTGTTAGTATTAGTCAACTGGGCAAAAAGGAGAGGGAAAAGCAGTTTATATTGAGAAATCAGCCCTTGCAGAGGTCCTGTGATAAAGAGATTAAAGAAGGCTTCCATGACTGCAGTGGAGAGACCAAAGCAGGAGAATAACTCAAAATGACACTGGGGAAATAGTTAGGAACCCAACTATGTATGTATGATATTTTGTTGTGAGAGCAATAGGAAATCATGAAGGACACATCATTGTGGATATGAGGTATAAAGAATAGAATTGATTAGAAGGAATAGTGTGGATAAAGATGAACAAGTGTGCAGTGAGGAATTCGGCCTCACCCAAAGAGAGGTCTGGACTTTGTCACTGGCTCCTGTCAGGTAACCTCTAAACTCTTAGAATTTCCTGAGTAATAGGAGTGTCTTTGTTATTTACAGTGGTCCCCACAGATGATACCTGATAGTTTACGCTATTGATGTGAACTGTGATGGGCTCCTTGGGCCATGTAATATCAGACTGACCTCCAGAGAGGAGTGAGATTGAGTCCAAAGACATGAGCAACTAACCAATCATTCATGCCTACATAATGCAGCCCCAGTAAAAGTAAAAACTCTGGACACCAAAGTTTGGGGGAGCTTCCCGGGTTGTCAATACTCTATGTATATTGTCACACATTGATACTGAGAGGATAACACATTCTGAGGAGACTCAGAGACTCTGCCTTATGTGTCTCTTCCTTTGGCTGATTTTCTGTATCCTTTCCCAGTAAAACATAACTGTGAGTATAATAGGTTTCCATGAGTTCTATGAATTTTTCTAGTGAATTATCAAACCTGAGAATGGTTTTGGGAAACCTTTGCTGATGGTTAATTTTAGGTGTCAATATGACTGGGCCAAGTGCCCAGATATTTAGTCAAACATTATTTTGGATGTTTCTGTAAAGGTACTTTTCTGGATGAGAGTAACATTTAAATCAGTGGATTTTGAGTAAAGATTACCCTCCATTATGTGGGTGGGCTTCGTTCAATCTGTTGAAGGTCTTAATAGAACAAAGACTAACCTCCCCTGAGCAAAAAGGACTTCTGCCAATAGACTGCTTTTGGACTTCAACTGCAATGCTTCCCTGGCTCTCTGGCCTGCTGGTCTACCTTACGGATTTTGGACTTACCTGGCTTTCACAATCGCATAAGTCAATTCCTTATAATAAGTCTCTCTCTCTCTCCATGTACATCCTATTAATTGTGTTTCTCTGGAAAACTCTGATTAATACACCCTACACACTTTCAGTTGGTGTCAGAAGTGAGGATGGTCTTGTGTGGATTTTTCCCTCTAACTTTGTAGTTGAACCCTAACTTCTTCAAGTAGGGGTCAGAAGTCTTGGTCAGACTTGGAGGTATGGAGTATTTAACCTCGTGGTTTGACTAATTCTGGGTAACAAGTTGAAAGGAACTCCTTTAGTACTAAAGAAGGTATGGTTTTGGAACAAATGGAAAGAAATAGGTGGATTTGAGAGATATTTTTTAAATAAAATCAACAGGAATTTATGAGGCAGGGAGGTGAAAGAGGACAGGATGTAAGATTGATGAGAAAGTGTACAAATGTTCTCACAGGATCATTAGGAGTGTACACTAGTGTGCAAGGAATAAAGTCTGTTTGGATAGAGAATGAAAATTGTTTATGTTGGTTACATAGGGACCTTTGGAAGAATCCAATCCTTTTGGTGGAGAGTTGACTTTAACATCAAGAATATATGGAGAAAACAAATTAAAGCCAACAGTTAAACCCCTTGTCATCTCCCCATTCTGTTCTTCCTCCCATTCTCCCCAGAAAGCTAGAGGACCATCTCACTCCAGCTGATTCAGGATAAGCCAAGTATCATGAGAAAAGATTTTACACTTTTAGGCAGTTCCAAAGGGTGCTGGCTTGAAGAAAACCACCAAAAATAAGCAAAGGGTCTGTAAAATTTGAGAGACATGTGAAAGAACAAACATTGACATTTGCATTTTCTTCAGGAAGAGCAAAACCAGAGATGTTTAAAGAATAAGGATTGTGGAGAATAAGGGGAGAAAGGATAGAGATAAAACATTTGGGAGGTTCATGCAAAACATCCTCTGGAGATGTAGGGACCATCCTTTACCTTCATCCCCTATTCTGGTTTCCTCTGTGAGGAGGCTTTTGATAGACCAGACACGTGCTCTGATTCTCTTCTTCATTAGTCTTTGTCCTTCTTGTTAGAATCCTGAGACCCTCTATTTTGCTTAGTGTATCAATCTTTCATATTCTTGAGTAAAGAATTGATTAAATCCTCACTGAGGTACTCAGAGCACTTTCTGGCAATATTTGGGATAAGTGGAGAAGTTATGGTCCCTTCTTCCTTGGGCAGAAGTAGGCTCTGCTAGCATCATTTTTATGGATTGTGTGTCTTGGAGCATCTTCCTTTGTAGAACGTTCTAATTAGACAAGTAGTACGGTAAGTTACTCAAATTCTGCTCTCTTGCCAAATTATGAATGTGTGGTGATACATTCTGTGAGTCAAGAAAAGAACGGGCCTACCACATTCATGACAATTTCTTTTTCCACATTTCAATTTAGACTTACTTTTAGCCTATCAAGTCCTTTGACGATAAAACATAATAACTGTATTCTGATTCTACTGCAGTCAGACAAGAAGTTATTGCCTTCCTGAGTTGATATACTCACTCATTTTTCCCATACAGGAGAGGGGAGAGGTGTCAAAACATACACAATTCCAGGTGGGGAGAGAATAACTCTTTATTGGTAATAATGTGGAAGGGTTCTGAAATGAGAGTCAAGAGGCTGAGTTCTAACAGTATTTGTTTACACCTTCCAACAATAGCACTAGTAACCAGTGAGACAATCCAACTACAGAAATTTCCTTAGCTTGACCTCTGGCCACAGGCCATGATGCTTCATACAGGCATATCTGACCTGTTATCTGAAAGATTCAGAACGCTCTCACATAATAGGCTCACCTTTATTTCATACTGCAAAATGGATGAAAAGAAATGATTCCAGTGAGTAAATGAAATCTCAATAATGGTAAACATATAGTCCTTGTTCTGAATAACCCTAATGATGGGAGGAGGTTTCATTAAAATTAGGTTTGTTAGAAGCACAAATTCTAATCATGAATGTATTAGGCAAATTTGTTTATGGCAAAGGTTGAATACATAGAGCCTTTTACATATGTCTAAATTCAGTGATAAAATGTTCTACATGCTTCAGTATTTTGAATTGTTTATCCGTTGAAGATTACATAGGCTATACTATTTATACTATTTAATGAGTATTTCCAAAGTCTCACAAACACATGTAATAAATAGATTCCCTGGATTGTAAAACTCTACTGCATATTCCATTAATGCAGCACATATATTTCTGGGCTTAATTGTGGAAGATGATGGAGCCTTGGGTGTCTACTGTAAATACCAAATGATGTTTAAAGCTATCTTTGTTCTTATTTTAAAAGCAGATTTCTGATGAGAAAATACTGCAACAATACACTTGCTTCTTTAAACTTAATGTTTCATGTGAGAATAAGGGATCACTTGTCATTTCAGCGTGGAGATTAAGTGTTGTTTGATCATCTTAAGGACGATTCTAAGAAATAAATATTTCTCTTGCACCATTTTGGGATTCTGGTAACTTAATAGTTTAAAAGTATTATATGCTCTGTAGAAATGAAGGTGAATTCACTCAGGAAACCGTAGGAACATGTAATGGAGAACATTTTGAACTTGCTTAAGCTTTTTAGACTTCAAAATATGCCTATATAAGTCAATTATTTAAGCTGCTCTAAGGCTAGCTTTCCTCCAATATGAAAATATTAAAGTGACATTGTCATGAAACCAAAGACTTAGATTTGGCCACTGTGAATTTGTCAGGTTTATATGAGGGAATGATAGTAACTATGACTGTAAGGTGTTCTAAAGACAGGAGTCTCTCTTGCTCTTTCAATATGTGCCATGATTTCTGCCTGCACAAGCTGGCAACCAACTGGTATCAGGGGATTGCCTCATTATATGAAAATAAACTTAACCCATCTAGGCTAGCTTGTACTTTATGAAACTGGGGCATGCAATATTAGTATATTAATATTCACCAAGCAGAACAGGGGGAAATCTCAAAGCAAATGCATTGTTTTAACTTTGAAGGTATTAGCAAATACGGTTAACAATTCTGCCTCTCCCTTCCTTTACAAAAGCATTTAGTAAGCTGAAGAGCACTGAACAAGTGGTGGTTACTGCTATTTATACACCTTAAATTCTAGAATGTTGCCGACATCACAAACAGCTCACAGATACTCTGTAAGGTGGTTGTAAGGTTAGCACTCTAACCTAACACCTTCATCAAGCAGATGAAGAAACAAGCCCAGAGAGCTAACGAAGTTCACACTGTAAATCAGCAGGACTTGAGATTAGGATCAGGCTTTCTGACTCTTATTTTTGAACTATTGTTGTATTGTCACTAATATCGATTATTTTGAAATACTAATTCTTCAGCTAAATCTCTGCTCGTATTATGAAAAGCTGCCTCAACTCAATACATTACAGCTTGTATGTATTTCACAATAATAATGACAAAAGTGCCAATGATATTTTGAAGTCATCCCATGTCTCAATTCAGTAAACCCAAGCAGAAAGAGGTAAGGGGAAGCTACATGGTTCCTAAGGTCATTGGTGACAAAGACATGACTAGAACGGGTTTTGTTGACTTTGCAACCAGGATAAGTTAGACTTGAGCCTAAACAGTACGAGAGCTGTGGGAAGAGAAAGAGTAGAATTCGGAGGTGTTGTCAGTACTGGTAAGGTGCAGGGGGAATCTGACTCTGAAGATTTAGAAGTAAGGGAACATGGTGGTTGCCTTTTCTTGCAGAGCAGCCTTCTGTTTTGTTCAACTCACTTTTGCTGTTATCATATAGGTAGCCTCTTCCTAAAGGAAGGAGGCACCTGACCCAAGAGATGTATAATTAATTTAAGACTATCACAATGACTTTATTTCCCTTTGCCAGTGATTGGATTAGTGGTGGCCATGTGACTGAGATCTAACCAATAAGATACAAGGAGCAATCTTCTGGGAAAAAATATCATATTAGCAAGAGAGAAAAATATCAAGAGAAAGCTCCCTGACCTTCTTTTTCTTGGTTTTGAACTTACTTGTGTAATGATGTGATGTTTGGAAATACTGTAGTCTTCTTTCATCATGACAGAAAATCAGGAGACTCTTGAAGAAGTTTAGTGCCCCAACACCATTGACCTGTTGAACCAATTCTGAAATTTCTATCATCGGATTTTTTTAATAATAAAAATAATTGCATTTTGCTTAAGCCACTTTTAGTTGGGCGATTTATTACTTATAGACAAAGGTGTCATAATGGACCTGGTTCCCATTAGTCTCCTTTTGCCCTCAGGCACATTCTCTGCCCATCTCTGTCTTGCCTTGTGCCCTGGAAGGTGGACTCCTATGGACTACATCACCTGGACCTCATTGCTATTTTGTTTCTGATTGGCTTCAGCTAATGAGAGACTCCTGTAAATCAGATTTTTCCCTACAACTGTGTCCCTGCTTCAATGTGGTTCTGGTGGTGCTGTGTCCCCTGAGATGGTGGTGTGGGGACCTGGAAATGGCCACCCCAAGATATGTCTCTTTGGCATGATGATTATTTGAGGCTAGTTACTTTGCAGACAGGAAAGAATCTGAAAAGTAGAATTTATTTACACTTTGTAAGAGACAATTATATTGTAAAGGAACTCTCCATCTGTAAAGATATCTCTAGAAACTCTTAATCAATGGGGAAGGCAAGAACTTAAATCTGCATTTGTTTATTGTGCTTGTCTTGTAACCTCCTGTAACTGACTTCCCTCCCTCTCCCAACATTGGCATTTCTTTAAGGATTAAGCATCTTTCCTTAGGCTAGGAACTGATTGCTGCCCTCACCTGTGACCACCCAGCTCAAGACAATAGACTTGCCTCCTGCTACGCCCACCAAGATAGCAGTAGCAGACCAGTATCTGTTGTGTCCATCAAGCGCTGTGCCGACAGGGCAATCTTGTGACTATTGTGGGAGGGACATTTCAATCATATGTGAAATATCCTGTTTAGGGGTATATAACCACTCTGTGCACCCCACTTCTTCGGTGCCCTTCCTTTGGGAAGAAAGGCCCTGGGCCATGGTTCTTCATAAAGCTTTGTTTAATGTTCTCTTGCTATTCTGTCTCATGTGAATTTAATTGGTTCTCTGGCCAGACGAACCCACATTGGATAGAGGAAAAGTCTTCCTCCCCTACAGTGGCTACTGTCTGGTAGCCTTCATTTCATGGCTGCAACTTTCAACTAGGCATAGTGACTCCATTTTCTTGTCTTTCTCCTTCAGGCCAAGGGGATGATATCAGCTTCTTGCTGTTGCTTCCTCCTGGGTGTTTCAACATCTTGTGGATTCCTTTAGCCTTACCCATACCTCTGTAGATATTTCCTTCATTAGAAATTCTCAGGTGAGGCTGTTGACTGTTTTCTACTGAGACTCTGACTGATATGAACACTCTCTAAAGACTTTTAAAAATGAATCAGAGCAGAGATATCCCCCCTCTCTTTTTAAAGATTAGGATAATTCTAGGCCAACACAAGTTATTTACAATGAAGGCAGCAGCCTTACCCTATGGATTAGTTTGCTATGGCTGCTGTAACAAAGTAACACAAATTGGGTGACTTAAACCACATAAATTTGTTGTCTCACAGTTCTGGAGGCTAAAAGTCCAAGATCAAGGTGTTGGCAGTGTTTGTTCCTTCTGAGGGCTGTGAAGGAGAATCTTTTCCATACTCCTAGCTTTGGGTGATTTGCTGGCAATCTTTGGTGTTCCTTGACTTCTGCTGCAACACCACGATCTTTGCCTTCAAGTTCACATGGTATTCTCCCTATGTGCCTGTCTATGTCCAAATTTCTCCCTTTTATAAGAAATCAGTCATATTAAATTGGAGTCCCACCCTAGTCCAATATGACCTCAAGTTAACTAAATGCATCTGCAGTGACACTCTTTCTAAATAAAGTCACATTCTGAGGTGCTGAGGGTTAGGACTTCAACATATGAATTTTGTGAGGGCACACTTTGATCCATAGCATGCTGTCTAAAGAAATCAGTAGGGGCTAGTTGTTCTGTCATGGAACAGAAAATTTATTTGGAAAAGGCTGTTGAACACTTGCTACAGCTGATGATACCCTGGACCAGGGATACAAACTCACCACATAAACTCTCTAGTCTGAGTACCAGCTATACCACAATCTTGGAAATGGTTCTCTCACATAACATTAACCTTATTCACAGAGAAACATTCTGACTATAATTTACCTGCCCATTTTAAAATTTAAACATTTATTGAGCATTTAAGACAGTGTTGAAATACTTTACATGTTGTTTTAGTTTACTCTTTATAATAGTCTTATAAATTTTTATTAGCATCATCATTTTTCAGATAAGTAACTATGGCTTTGGATCAGGTCACTTGATCAAGGTCTCCCAGCTTGATCAAGCCAGAATGGTGAAGCCATAATTAAAATCTAAGACCTCACACTCCAGCATGGGCATTTTAAACTAATATACGTTTTTTGACCACCATGAGAGAAGGAGATAGCTAAGGATCCTAGTGTCAGGTCATTTTGGCTTTCCAAATTTCTTTTTGTTTAAATTATGAAATTAGAAATCTCGTGCACACATTATTTTGATAGTTTATTAAATGATAGACTGTCTTGGGACTGATTAATGTCTTCTGCTATCAACTCTGGTTTCTAATACTGCAGTCTGAGGTTCACCTGTGGCCCCATCTCTGCTCATTTTCTTTAAACTTTCACAAGAGCTAATAGACAATGCAGTTACTCTGAAATAGACTTAGCTAAAAAAACTGCTCATCCATTCTAAGTATAATATTTCTGTTCTTCCTTTTTCTTTAATAAAAACACAACTTTGTCTTTTTTTTAAGGTATGCTTTTTGGTCAGGGAGATTGGCCCTGAGCTAACATGTGTTGCCAATCTTCCTCTTTCTTTTTTTTCTCCCCAAAGTCCCAGTACATGGTTGTATATACTAGCTGTGGGTCATTCTAGTTCTTCTATGTGGGATGCTGCTGCAGCATGGCTTGATGAGCGGTGTGTAGATCCATGCCCAGGATCCAAACTAGTGAACTCTGGGCCGCCAGAGTGGCGTGAGCAAACTAAACCACTTGGCCAAGGGGCTGGCCCCAAAACACAACTTTATGTAGTGAGTATAGAGAGGGTATTCCTCAGAACCGCTCACCCAAGTATGTAAGAAAAAGTAATTGTCTCAAGAAGCAGACCAAATAGGCATGGGAAACTGAAGAGAAGATGTGTAAGATTGCAGTAAGAATTAGGATATTTGATCTTTGGCACTGCCCAAGAAAAAACATTGGAAAGAATATCCTTCCCCTTGTAGGGGAGGAAGATAAATCCTCTACCCTCTGGGTCTTTCTGGTTGGGTATGAATTAAATTGATATGAGACAGAATAACAGGAGAAAATCAAACAAAGCTTTATAACATGTATACATGGGAGAAACTCAGGAAAACTGAGCAACTCAACAAAATGGCTGAGCTGCCAGCTTAAATATTAACTTCAGCTAAAGGCAAAGGAGGATGTTGGGGGTTGTGGTTTGTGATTTCAGAAGTGAGGAAGACAATTTACATGGAGAGGGGAATGCAAATGTTTGTTAAACAAGTTTTTCTGGGCCAAAAATGGGCTTATTGGTGCCTTTCTATCACACCTGTTTTACATGATACTATAACTATCTCATGGTATTAGCTCCTCCCTGGAAGAGGACTTCTATGTTAAATTCTTTTAGGCAGTTTTGGGGAAGGTCAAATGTTCTTCCTGAGTCTTCTGAGCCTTTTCTTCAGCTCAAAATAATCTGCATACCGGAGTGGTGCATCTTGGGCTGGCCTGCCCTGAACCCCATCACCCTTCATTCACTGGGAAATAAACAGGAAGCAAAAAGGAATACACTGTAAAGCAGGTAGAGTTAGAGGATTGAAAGGTTAGCATAGCTTCAGCAATCAGACATTGCAACCTAAATTGTTTTTGTTATCACAGATTACTTACGAATGGATGTAGTTCCTCACATTTACCCAGAGAAAAATTGCCTTATTGGACCAGATAAACTTCCCAGGTAAATCTGGTTATCTTTAAGGATGATTAGATGCCTATGGTCAGAGTGGGTGTGATTTTGCTGCTGTTTTACCATTTATAATGTAGTTTAAAATCTTTGATGACATTTCAAGCCAATATCCTCTTCTTCCATCCCTCCAAATTGGGCTTCAGAGCCTTGAGATTCAAATTGGTCTATATATAAATTCATACATGGGAAATTTATAAGCATCAAGTAAAACAAGAAGTTTTGGATTCTCAGTATTACAGAGAAATGAGGAGATGAGTGTCCATTATGTGCCAGCCAATCTCACATAGATGAATTGCCTTAATTATCTCAATCATGTTTTGAGATGGGTATGCTTATGTTTACCAGGATTATGTTTATGAGGATAGTCATGTTCAGAAATATTAAATTTTCCAAAGTCTCATAGGTAGAAAACAAAAGAGCTGGGAATATGCATATCTTAGTCTTAATCTTAAAATCTTAATAGGATGCCACACTCCCTTATGTAGCAAATTAAATTACTTACTAGATACACTATAACACAATATTTACAAAGATCATATTTTGTAGTGATTGATCCAACCAATTCATACTAGTATATTCCCTTCTTTCTCTCCCTCGATTCTTCTTTCCCTCCCTCCTTCCTTCCTTCCCTTCCTTACAACATATTGATTGTGCACCACAATGAGCCAGAACATGTTTCAGTTTAACGGGATGTGTGTTCATTGATCTATAATTCTCAGGGGATAACTGTTGACTCAGGGGAGTCCCAGATTTCAGAGATCAGAGTCCTGGGACTATATAGTGGATGAGCTAGGAAATCACATCCTCAGAGCCCAGCAAGAGAGTGTGGGCCTGATGGGAGAAAAGGAAAGTTCAGAGAATGGCACACAGTCTAAGTCACATCTAAATAGAGTGACATGGCCAGTCCTCCTTTTCATATGGAAATTTTATTACCCTGATTTTAGCTAACACAGCAAACTTAAGGCCTGAATATAAAGTAACATTGACATCTTAATCTATGCTTCTTGGTCAGGCAGTTCTGTCTTTAGAAATCAGACTGGGAATGACACAGGTTGAATTGGGCGATGTGGCTGCTGGGCAGTCATTTGCCCCACATCTCTGGAGTCAGATTTAACACATTTTTGACATCCTACCTACATGCTTGTGAATGTTAATTAGAAATCAATTCCCCTCGATTTCTTATATGCTTATAATACACTTTTAATTAATTATAATTCTTTGCTTTTTTTGACTCATTCATTTATCTATAAACTAAATATAAATTAAAATTTCACAATTTTTCCCAGCTTGCTAAGTTCTGGAGTTATAGAGGAGAAAAATACAGGAAAGTTCTGTTTTTCTGAATTCCATTCAAAATATGGCTGGAGTGCGCTTGCTGTATTTTCACATTCTTTATTCAGTTTTCACCAACAAGCATACCTATGGGTATTATCAGAATACAATGGTCAATGTATTTAGTGGAAGTCAAAGACTTGGATTTTTTCATTTCCTAGAGTTTGAAAATTGAATTACTTCATTGATGCAATAAATTATATAATGACATAGTACATGTGATTAAAAAAATACACAAGAGTCTACCAGTCAAATTTAAGTATTCGACCAAAAAACTTTTATGAGAAAGTCCCAAGACACTGCTTAAAAAACCTTGAGAAGAATCTGAGATGAGTTGATTGCCATCTTGAGACAAAGCAGTGCTGAACCTTGTCAAGATTTAAGCTCGTCCAACTACCCTTCAGCTCTTCACTTTCAGAACTTGATTTAGCATTCACCACAATCTCATGGCACTTGAAGCTCTGTCAAACTAAACAGCTCTGTTTTGGACACATGTTTTGAAAAGCCTCACAGACTCTCTGTTTGCACATACAGCATATTTTTAAAATAGTATAACCTTGAAGCAGCATTGAGCTATTATTTTCATAAAAGGAAAACTAGAAACCAGTGAAGCTTACATATTTGCTGTCTTCACAGGAAAAAGAAATGCACTTCTTGCTTTACTTTCACACTGTAACAGAGTTCTGCCATTTTGAGACTGAGAGAACAATTTTTTTTTTTTTTGGCAAATAATTGGGAGCCAAGATATGGGTTTGCTTTATTTCTCCCTAAACCTAAGAGCTTTTTCAACCATAAAGTAAATGTTTTCTCAAAAAATTGAAACTCTGGAACACACATTTTACCTATTCTTTGCAGCCCAGAATTCTAAAGACTATGACTGGTAGCAGATAAACTCAAAGACTGGTAACAGCACAGCCTACTACAAAATTTGATTGTGCTTAAATGGCACAGTGTGGACAATAGGGGAAAAATTATTCTTACATGATTTTCTCTTTGTTATGCCGTGATCCTATCTACATTTGTGTCTTATTCTTACTCTTTATCAGATAACATACTATCTTGTATATTAAATTAAGTTTCTTACCAGATATATTATAACACATTATTTACAAAATGGTTTGTAGTTATTAATCCAATTAATCCAACCAATTTATAGAAGTATATTTCCTTCCTTCCTTCCTTCTTTCTTCCAACTTTTTTGTTCTCTTTCCTCCTTCAATTACTCCCTTTCTCCTTCCTTGATGCCTCCTCCCTTCCTTCTTTGTTTCCTTCCAACACATTTATTGTGCATCACAATATGCCAGGTCATGTTCCAGCTTCCTGGGACATGGGTTAATTAATCTATGATGTTTGAGGGATGATTGTTGACTCATCCCAGGGGTCCCAGGGCTTCAGAGATGAAAGTCCTGAGATTATGTAAACTTTTAAAAGTTTAGAAATCTCATTTTTCTTCCGTACTCATTTTCATGATGGATATGTGTGAACCATTACCTTCTAGAGAGGTGAATGTCTCTTAGCCTTTTCTATTCTCTGGACATAGTGCTGCATATACAGATCTGAATTCTAGAGATGTTACTTGGAATTCTGGATCTAAAGTCTTTATGCCTACATTGGAAATCTGATCACAGGAGGAACATTGTGAGGGACAGGGCTGTGGGACTGGAGGGATTTGGTGGTGCTTAAATTTTGCACATTCCATTTTAGCCTTGGTGATGCCACATTTTATAGTTAATGTCTAACAGAGGTGAGCATTCTACTGGCTCAGCAGTAATTTATACTGTCAGCTCATAAGTAATACCACAGATATTGCTTAATAATAAATAACATATTATTTGGAACAAAAAAGATCAACATATAGGAAGGGGCACAGAGAAATAGTGTCCTGAAATGTGACATTTTCCATGGTTTTTACCACAAACTTATGAGGTTATTCACAAAATATATGTAAATTGTCTGAGTTCATTTAGCTCATAGCTAATCAGACTGGTATTCATGGCCTTAAAATTTAGAAGTCTGGCTCACATCTATTTTCGTTCCATTATACTGTTGGGGCCTCTTGTATTGTTACAGTCCTCCAATTTTCTGCGTGCTGAGACATACATTGATGCAACTATGTATTTGTTTATTTATTCAGTCATTTGTCATTTACTGAATGTTTATTATGTTTCAGGCATAGATCTATAAGAGATGAAAAAGTGAATGAGGCAGCAGGATGTAGTTATACGAGTATTGGAACCAGAAAGACTTGGATTGAATTATCGTTACTATCATGGAGACTCAAGCTGACAGTGGCAATAAGTCATGCATACAACAAAATGAATACAATGTCAAAAGTAGCACATTTTCAGTACCATGTGACTATGACAGCAAGTAAATGCTTAAAATTTGTTGAAGGGAGACCTTGTAGTGTGTGTATGTGTGTGTATGCACGTGTGTGTGTGCATGTGTATGTGTGTGTGCTTACATTTCATTATTTTACAAGTATATGCATAAGTCTATCTAGCATGATCAGCCTGAGAAAGACACCCATGTCTTTTAAAGTCCACTTGGTCTTATCAAGTTATATACACCATTTCTACAATTTTGCTATAGTTAAAAGAAAACTGCTAAAACATTTAATAAATAGAATAGTCCTCCTACAGCATCATTTCTTTGTTTAGCTTTACTTTCCAGAATGGAGTGCACATTTTTAAAATGTGTCTAAGTGAGATACAAATATTCCTAATGTATCAAAGTCTATCTAACAGGGTTTATCCTTCCCTTTTAAAGATGTTAAACTCAGTGCTTTATATCCTGTCTGTCGAATAACCAGAGGAGGAAGAAGAAGAGGAAGACATTCATTTGCAAGCATTTTATTGGTTTATCCCATTCCTGTCTTTTTTGCCTTCCTGTGCTGTGTTTGCCCTGAACAAGTGTACGTGCTATATTGAATGTGTTTTCCTATCAGAGGTTGCAAACTGGCAATGTGTGTGTGGGGGGGGCCCAGATGGTCCACAGATGTATTTTGTTCGACTCATACAGTGTTGGCCTACACAGTATTTATATTTTATTCTTAATCAGAACTGGGAGGTTTCAATGCATATGTGGATAAATGACTTCTCTTGAAAAAAAGTATCAGAAAATTTCACAACAGTGGATCTTTTTTCAAACTTTGTGATCATTAGTTGGGTTGAGGTTATCTTCCATGTAGTTCACCACAGTCATCCCCACCATTCCCTGTTGCATCCTAACACTGAAAACAAATGTCAATTGCTATTTAGCAGAGCACTTGTGCTATTGTTTATATTATTTTTGAGTGAAAAGAAAAATTAAATATTTCTTACAGATCTGTCTCTATTTTATATAAGGTCAACATTGCATTTTTATATTATCTACCTTCCTCTAACATTGAATGATTTTAGGACCTCATTGCATTGGATATTTAACCCAGTATAGTGGAAAGAATCAAGCAGATTCAGAGTCTGACACATCTGGGTTCAAATCCAAGTTTGCCATTTACTGACAGTGTAATGGTATATAAATTAAGTCAAGTGACTTAACTTTGCCAGGCCTTTAAAGTATCTAAAAGAAAGTATTTAAAGTATTTTTATACTTTTAAAGAAATTGAAAAATACTTAAAAGTAGATATAAAAATTAAATCCATTTCAGAAGGGTTTTTGTGGGGAATAAATGAGACAGCATAGAAGATTGCTGGGAAGATGGTGGTGTAGGAGGACTCTGAACTCACCTCTGCCCATTGATGCAACAAAATCACAGCTACCCTTAGAACAATTGTTCCTCAGAAAGAAGGGGAAACTCGATAAAACGAACCCCCACAACAACAAGGGACAGTGCTGACTGAGATGGAAGAGGCAGAAAATCCTTTCTGGAGAGGAAAAAGCCACATTCTAGCTGTGGCACTTTACAGCTGGGAGCCATCTTGAGGTACGAAGCTTTCCCTGAAGGAGTGGGGGATCTGAGCAGGAGAGCTTTGCCAAAATATGCAGCTTTTGAACTCAGCACAACCGAAACAGGCATCATAATATCTGTCTTGCTGGCTACTAACAACAACAGGAAATACCCACAGAAAAGCTATCGAACATAAGAGAAAGAAAAACCTGCTCTTACAGGGCCCATTTACAAATTCATCCATTCTGGAAAGGAACCTAAGATCACAAGAAAGGTGCACAATCCTCTGGTGAAAAGAGGCTCACTTGACAGGCTCCAGGTGCATCTCAGAGAGGCAGAAGGCAGCTGGGACCACCTCCCCAGGGACTGAGACATTGGCAGCAGCCATTATTGTGACCTAGTACAGGAGTGCTAACACAGACGTTGGTAGGCTCTGTTGGAGTTCTTCCCCTGCCCTGTTAGCACAGGGGTCTGCCAGACCCAACTAGAGCACCAATTTAATCCAGCTTAGCCAGGGCAGGCAGACTTCCCTAGGGACAGGTGCCATCCAACAGTAAGTCCTCAGGCAACGTGTTGTCTCACATAGGTGACATATGTGGGACTTCTGCATGGGGCAAGTGGGTCTGCCTCTGTGGGCAGGGTGTGCATGAGGGGCAGGCCTGTGTTGGCAAAGAGTGTGAAGCCTCTGCAGCAGGGAGAGTGGGTCCACTTCAGGACATGTGCCTGGGGCAGGACTACCTTGACAGGGTGTCTGAGTCTGTGGGCAGTGGGGCTTCTCAGCTGCATCAGACTTGTGCTTGTCAAACAGCCATATAGGAGATTGGCCACACCTTCCAACACCTGAAACAACTGTGTGCTGCCACCCTTGGGGCCGGCCCCACACAGCTGCACTATTGAGAGAGCTGACAACAGCCTTGCAGGCTGGAGGCCTACAGCAATTGTAAGCCCCTGAGCCAAGCAACCAGCCACTCTGGGGGCCTACTCACTTAGAAAAAATTCAGCAAAAATGTGCTATTAGATCTTGCAACCAACTGTGCTGGAGTTCCCCATGCCCAGTAAAGTGACAAAGGGACTGTAGCAGCTGCATGCAGCTAAGTATTACAACCAGCCAGCCAGGGGGACAGCCTAGCCTGCCTGTGCACCTGCAAGAAGAGCAACTCTATCACAACAGAAAGACACATGTTACCCATACAGGGAACTCATGGAACATTTTGAACTGCTGTTGAGAGGGAAGCAGACTGCTGGGCCTTATAAGGCATCTCTTACATAAGACCACTTCTCTAAGACTGGGAGACATAGCTGATCTACCTAATACATAGATATAAACACAGAGAAAGAGGCAAAATGAAGAGAGACAAAGGAATATGTTCCAAATAAGGGAACAGAACAAATTATCAGAAAAAAGAAATAAATGAAAAAGAGGTGAACAATCTACCTGATAAAGTGTACAAACTAATAGTCATAAGGGTGCTCACTGATCTTGGGAGAAGAATGAATGAATTCAGTGAGAACTTCAACAAAGAATTGGAAAGTACAAAAAAGAACCAATCAGAACTGAAGAATACAGAGATGGAAATGAAAAAATCACTATAGGGAATCAATAGCAGAGTAGATGATATGAAAGAATGGATCAGTGAGTTGAACAAAAGACTAGAGAAAATCACCCAAGCTAAATAGAAAAAATAAAAGAATTAAAAAGAATAAGGACAGTCTAAGGGACCTCTGGGACAACACCAAGTACACTAACATCCATATTATAGGTGTCTCAAAAGGAGAAGAGAGAGACAAAGGGGTAGAATCTATTTGAAGAAATAATAGCTGAAAGCTTTCCTAAACTAAGGAAGGAAAAAGACATCAAGGTACAGGAAGCAAAAGAAGATGAACCCAAAGGCCTGCACCAAGGCACATTATAATTAAAATGTCAAGAACTAAAGCTAAGGAGAGAATCCTAAAAGCTGCAAGAGAAAGGCAACAGGTTACATACAAAGGGAAGCCCATAAGACTATCGGCTGACTTCTCAGCAGAAAGCTTACAGGCTAGAGGGTATGGCACAGTATGTTTAAAGTGCTGAAAGGAAGAATGCTACAGCCAAGAATACTCTATCGAGAATAGAAGGAGATATAAAGAGTTTTCCAGATAAGCAAAAACTAAAGGAGCTTTTCACCGATAAACCAAGCTTACAAGAAATGCTTAAGAGATTTATTTAAATTGAAAAGGAAAGGCCACAAATAGGAATAAGAAAATTATCAAATAAACAAAACAAAACAATAAAATCACTGGTAAAGGCAAATATACAGTCAAAGTAGCAGACCAACCACCTATGAAGCTAATATGAAGATCAAAAGACAAAAATACTAAAATTACCTTTTTCTATGATAAGAGGGTAATGGATATACATGCACAAAAAAGAGGTTAAATATGACATCAAAAACATAAAATGTGGCAGGAGGGGAGTAAAAGAGTAGAGCTTTTAGCAAGAAGTCAAACTTAAGAGACCATCAACTTAATATAGATTGCTATATATGTAGTTTATTACATATGAACCTCATGGTAATCACAAACCAGAAACCTATAATAAATACACAAAAACTTAAGAGAAAGGAGCACAAACATAATACTAAAGAAAGCCATCAAACCACAAGGGAAGAGAGCAAGAGAAGAAGAAAGGAACAGAGAAAAACTACTAAAACATCCAGAAAAAAGTAACAAAATAGTTATAAGTACATATTTACCAATAGCTACTTTAAATGTCAATGGATTAAATGCTCCAATCAAAAGACATAGGGTGGCTGATTGACTAAAAAAAACAAGACCTATATATATGCTGCCTACAAGAGAAACACTTCAGACCTAAAGACACTCACAAACTGAAAGTGAAGGGATGGAAAAAGATACTCCATGCAAATGGCGATGAAAAGAAAGCTGGGATAGCAATACTTACATCAGACAAAATAGACTTTAAAACAAAAACTAACAAGAGACAAAGAAGGGTACTACATAAAGATAAATGGAACAAACAAGAAGATATAACACTTGTAAATATCTATGCACCCAACATAGGAGCACCTAAATATGTAAAGCAATTATTAACAGGCATAAAATGAGAAATAGCCAGTAACGCAATAATAGTAGGGAACTTTAACATTCCATTTAACCAATGGATACATCATCCAAACAGAAGATCAACAAGGAAACTTTGGCCTTAAATGACACATTAGACTAGATGGACTTAGTAGATATATACAGAACATTCCACCCCAAAACTGCAGAGTACACATTCTTTTTAAATGCACATGGAACATTCTCCAGGATAGATCACATATTAGGCCACAAAACAAGTCTCAATAAATTTAAGAAGATTGAAATAGTACCAAGTATCTTTTCTGACCACAATGGTATGAAACTAGAAATCAATCACAGGAATAAAATCGGAAAAGCCACAAATATGTGGAGATTAAACAAAATGCTACTGAACAATGATTGGGTCAATGAAGAAATCAC